AATGGAAGAATTCTTTCATTTACGGCAGCCATTTTGTACAGAGTTGTGATTGTGACGTCTGATGCTTTTATTTTGGTGAGATTCTGTATTGTGCTCTTACAGGTTATGACTAGGGTTCGGATGTTCACGACGTCATATTTTTATTGGGGCTCCTATTTTCATTCTAAACTGAAATTAAACAAAGAGCTCTCCAAAAAAGTTAACCTCTTATGAAGTTCCGCCACGTTCTTAAGCCGGTCCTCGGCCAGGTTGCGCCACCGATCGGCCTCTTGTCGATAGGAGTGCAGCTGATTGCTTAGGTTCCCCATACTGGTATGCAGTTCTGCCACTTCATCCTCTAAGCCCTGTATCTGGCACACATATTGATCCACTATGGACTGTATGGGTTTCTTGTCTGGCGAAGGATGGCAAAGTTTGGACTTGAGTCTGCAAGCAGATGTCTTGTGTTCATTTTCAAAAAAATATTATTTGTAGTTTATCATTCTTTATTTCCAGTGCTGCTTTCTCACCTAGTGTAAGACTGCTGAGAGTTGTTGAGAGCAGTCTGAAGGCTGCGCAGTTCTTCCTGGAGTCTGGCTGCAGCCTGACTGTGTTCATCACGACCTTCTTTTAGCAGCTGTTGGAAACGGCCAATAGTATCTTCCTTCTGTTTCACGATATTTTGGAGACTGTCAATGGTTGCCTGAAAATAAGTCTCATAAGAAGAAAGAGTTGCGTACAGAAAACGGTGCCATTACATAAGAGCCCTCTAGACCTGTCAGATAGCAAAATATAGTGCGGATCTATAACTCTTCTATCAGAGTTCTTGGAATTTGTTAAAATATGCAGCTTATTATCAGGAATGTTGTCATGTCTGAATTTTTTAACAAAGAAGCGGACCATAACGACAGGAAGACAGTACATTTGTGACAGGTTACCTTAAGGGCCAACTTCTCGGTTAAATCTTCCTCCACCCTCTTCTCTTCTGCCACATGCTTCACGTAGCTAGACGGTTGTTCTGCAGTCTTCTGCTCGTTGGAATTTAACTGGACCTTCATCTCGGCCAGCAACGTGTCTCTAGAGAAAAGAAGCCTGTCTTTTTCTTCAATTTCTGCAGTCAGCGACGCCACCTTCCCTCTCATCTGGGCCAGCTCTGCTTCGTATTTGAGCAGGCTCTGCGACTGGGTGCTGACAAGACTCATGGCCTGAAAAGAGATGCAGTAGCTCTTCATTCTGGACCAGACAAGAATCAGGAGGTGGCCAGTTTGAAAAGTTTCCCAGGGGAACACATATTAAACTGATGCAAGAATTAAGTGATGGGTAATAACTGTACCAGAAAATACCTGTCTGAGTTGCTCCATTGAAGGATTGGTAGCTTCTGCATGAGCCTCGTCAGGTTCTGGTACCAAAGCTTGCTTCTGGGTCTCAACTGCGAACTTGTGCTGCTGGTTCTCGTAGTCCGCCAGTTGCTTGTACAGTTCACTCTGTATTATAACAGAGCACACAGACATGTCATTACACAGATTACCACAACTACAAACTGTCCGTATAAACCAATTAGTAAACGTGGCTGTGCTTTCCCTTCATTTCATAGAATAAAGCCTAGAAGCTCAACCTTTCGAAGCATAGCCTGTATGTTAGTCTGGGCACTTTAAAGATCATTCTGCGTCGTCCTTGTGTCGCACCATTCCTCCACGTTCTGAATTTCCAGCTGGTTCAGAATACGTTACTCATAAATGTGCTAATACACGACCTTTACTGCCTCCTGTTCTCAGGGTACCTGTGTCCGTTCCCACATGAGCTGCGCCTGTTCCCTACTCCTCTCTGAGCTGATCTGCTCCTGCTCCAGCACCGCTATGTGCTCCTCCTGTCGACGTAACCTCTCCTCTGCCTGCCGCACCCGTGACTCCAGCAGCAGCACCTGGTGCCTGGATTTTAGCTCCTAATATACAATGCAGACATAGGAATTAGTTTCATTACTACAGGTCATCATTATAAATGTGAAAATTGCTTTACATTAGATTAAAAAGTCTGTATAAATATTATGTACAAATAAAGAGTCTGACTCATCGTCGCAGTGAAAGGCCCAAGTATAGTGACTGACTATTGTCTGGATGACAAAGGTTCAATTCCTAGCAGGGGCAAAAGATTTTTAACTTAACGCCCTAAACTACGTACTTTAAGCCGGAGTTCAGTGTTGTTGTTGTGCCACTCGACCAACTGCTTCTGGCTGTCATCTGATTCGAGGGCAGTTTTCAGTTCCTGAAGAGACTTCACTTTCAATTCCATCTCTTCCTTCGCAGTAACTGCTTCATGAGCCAACTTCTCAGCACCGTGAAGCCTGTTTATAGCTTCACGTCTCTCCTCTCCAAGACGGCGTAAGGACATAGACATGCGGTCTTGGGTTGAGAGGGGCATGGCACCACTGTAATGACGTCTGAGATCCTGGATCACTTGATGGAGTGACCTGAAGAGGTAGAGATATCATACCCCTTCGTAAACTGATAAATTTTCTCTCTCTTTCTTAGAGAGAGAGCCGGATATAATGGCAACCACATTCCTCAGTAGACCATCGTAATTGTAACTGTGTGAAGCACGAATTATAATGACTGTTGTGATTAGACATGTAAATGGAGATGCATTTCAATGCGGACGTCATGTAAGAGTCTGATAAGACATAAAACTTACAAAATCAGCATGAAAGAAGCCAGTATTAATGGGAAAATTTATAAAATGCCAATTACTCCTCTTAGTGAGAAGATTGAAAATTATCCTGGCTACGGCACAGCTGGGATTTGAGTCCGTGTTCTACCTGCATCGGGAGATGAGTTGGCCCCGCACGTGACTGAGGGCTTGATCCTTCTCATCCAGCTTCACTTCTTGACGCAGATTTTGAGAGAGCAGCTTGGAGATCTCATTCTGCAGCTGCTGAACTTTCTTGTGAGCTGATGACTCGCTCAGCCGAGATGACAGCAGCTCGTGATTCAGCTTTACTGTAACAAATTACAGTATATCAGCAACAGGATGCACGCTTATCTAATTTTCACTTGTGACTTTTAGAATCATACAGAGAGCTCCGTATGTCCGTAAAAAAGAATGGTGGTCATGTGTGTAAATCCTTCACTGGCGGTTCACGTCTCATACGAAAAGTGAAGAGATCAAGAATCTTACAGACTGGGATATCGTAACCATACTGGGAGTTACAAGAAATTCAGAAATCAATAAAACCGTGAACTATCAATTGCGGGGCAACGGAACGATCAGCAGTTACAAATATGAGAACTGGAAACTGAAATAATTGGAAAACACAGGACTTCATTTACGTGAGTTCTTACCAATAATGGACCTCTCATCACTAGTAGACTGAAGTTCTAGAATCTGACGTCTCATGTAGTCCAGCTGGTACTCCTGTGACAATTTCCACAGTTCCAAGTTCCGCACCTGCTCCTGGGCTATGTCGCTCACCTCTTGCAGCCGGTCTTTTTCCAATTTCAGTTCAATCTGAAAAAGAAGTTTGTGGTTAAATAACTGATCTCTTCCTGTCTAGTAATTGGCAGTATTAGTGAGTTGGTTCATGTGGCATGATTCAGTAATTTTGTGTCAGTCAGTCAAACAATTTTTGAGACACGCACCCTGTCCTGCTCAGACTTCCGCAGCTTTTCCTGCACATCCTGCAATTCCTTGCGGCTCACGAATGTAAGCAGATTGTCTCTGAGTTCTCGTTCCGCTTGTTGCAACTCCAGATTCTGCTTGACCACAGTGCTGTACTGCAATTCTAACTCTGCATTGCGTTCCTCCAGCTGTGCCAGCTGACCTGTGGACAAGGTCATTAGTTTACGCCCACTATAGTTTAGAAACTTCAACTGATCAAACTACCAACCAGCTTGTTAACCAATTAACCGCCTCTGCAGCCCTTCACCAGTACATTGTTGTTCAGTTGGCGAAGATGTAGATCTTATGGTTGTAACACCATATTTCAGAGGAGCATTGAGCTGCAAATCAGCGCTGAAGATTGAGGCAGTATGTTTCTCTAAAACGTTGATCTGCTTATTAAGAATCCACTACATGTTTTGACCGTAATTGGTGGTTGGTTCTGTTTAAGTGTCTGAACGTAACAGATATGACTGCTGATTTGTGTTCATATTTTTTTTGCTGTCTTCACCACTTAATAGCGCGAACCTTTCAAAATGCTGTACATCTTGTCAGCATGATCTGCCTTCTGTCTCTCGTGCAGTTCTTTGAGCTCCGAGGTTGCCAACTTCTTCGACAGCAATGAGATCTGTAAAAGGTAATACAGGTAATCTGATACTGCGATTCATTAAAGAAAGACACGCACAATGTAATTCTTTACGTCCCGTAGCCAACTGAAACTTGCCTGGTTGTCGTGCGTGTCCTGCGTGACTGTATCTTGGTTAAGAGACGTCATGAAAACTTCCAAGGAGTGGACTTTCTCTCTGGCAACCTGTAGTGCACTCTGCAGTTCTTCCTTGTCCCTCTGCAGAACCTCCACCTCTCCCTCCAGACGGGCTGCCAGCTGGCTCTCACACACCTGAGAGAGAAATGCACCCCTTTTATATAAGGAAATCGAGTAAAAGAAATATTTATATTCATATGTGAAGTAGTCATTAAAATCATCCACTCTACATAAAAATGAAATGGCTCAAGAATCTTTCCTAAAATTATTCAATATCAATTTTTCACCAAAATTGGTTTACGGCTTTCAGAGTTATTTCACGTGTACAATTTTTAACAGGCACTCCACAAACAGAAGCTGAAAACAAATTCCAACTTTGAGCGCATAATTAGGGAAGTTGAGAATGAGTCTGGTTTTTCTTTGCTGAAACTGGTATTAGCTCAACAAAGTTCGCCCCATTCTGAGTCCGTACTGTAAAGACGCGTTACGTTCCATGCCTTTGTTTCAAACGTCAGTTTCTCTCTTATTCATGTACAGATCCGTCACAACTCATCTTACCAGACTTTGCTCCTTCTGAAGCAGGTCCCTGTACTTGGATGTAAGCTCACTGAACTGTTTGTTCGCGGCGTCCAGCGTTGTGAGCGGAACAGAGTCTTCTAGCATGCTCTGCAGCGCTGAGATTTTAAATGTTAACATTTCCTGCAAAATACAAGGTTTTTATGACAGCAAATATGAAGATGAATGTGGGATATTAAGAGATGAACAAGCAACAGGACACTAGGCAAGAAAAGTTGGTTACAGTAACGATACTGTCATTCAGACTTGGGTGACAGTAAAATTTTTATGAGAGCAAAATAAATTAATGCATTGTATAAATTCACTAGGGAGGAGAATCCAAGTGAGGAAAGTTACACAAAACAGTAGAGAAAATGTAAATAGGTATACAAGATGACACGCCATGGTCCTTGGTGGACATCAGCAGGCAGTGATGAACCTTGACCACAGACATTACCAGTAGATGAGAGAACTTCTAAAAACTCGGAAACACTAAATTTGAATTCCACCTCAGACCAAACAATACACCATCAGCTAAAATAACAAGTTTCTATGGTAATTGAAAAACTTGGTTTCAGTGGCTTGACTGATAGATTTTTAGTTTAGTCGCACTGGCTTAAGTGTCAAATGAACCATCAGGATGATTATGAATTGTACTTTTTCATAGCCTATCTGAAGGTTTTGTCTCTGCATTACCTGAAGGACTGTCGTAAGATAAAGCGACATGAACTCGGCTGGGATTCAAACTGGGCACTTCCCAAACACAAGTTAAAACTGAATCCTAGAGAACCATATGCTATGGTCAGTAGTAAGTGCTACTGTACTTAAATATTTTCAATGGTCGGCAGATCGGAGATTAACAAAAATGAACCACGCGCTTCCTTGTGGTCTTCCAAGATCAAAACATGTCAATGGAGAGGGCTGATGATAAAATACTGAACTGCCCTGTAAGGACTTTATGAGGTGTATGAGGACGCTGTGAAACTGTAGCCAAACTACTCTAGTCCTCCTGGTTGCGTGTTTTGTCGCAAGCAACATAAAAATTATGTTCGTAAGATCTCGTTACCTTGTGCCTCTGCAGCTCCCCAATTCTCTGCGTCACAACACACTCCATGGAAGCCATCTCATCTTTCATCTTTGCGTTTTCTTTACGCGAGTAGCTCTCCAAGTTCTGCAACGCCTTGCATTTTCTTCCCAGTAGTGTCGCATCAGCCATGGTGAGAGCCATCTGTTTTGCTTTCTCAGCTATGAGCTGTTTCTGTTCGTTCTCTCCCTTATTCAGAATATCCCAGTGCTCGTCATATTCCTTCACTTTTGCCTCCAGGCTCTCAACTTGATCCTTCAACTTCTCTCTTTCTGCATCAAAATCTGATTGAGACTTCTTCCACTCGCTTTTCTCCGAATTATGTTGTTTGTATAGCAGACCCACCTGGTGGCGTAATATATTAAACTTCTTGTTAAATTCTTCCAGCTTTCCCTCTAAGGTTACATTCCTGTCCTCTTCCTTGTGATACTCCTGCAAATAAAGGGAAAGAAATCACAGCATGTACATTAACATTCCCCTGAACCAAAACTAAGTAATATCACGGTACAGGGTTCCAGAAACTTTGGTTCCCTAAAAAAAAATGGTATACTTGCATCTAACACATGCAGGAGGTGCATGTTGAGTTTTGAAATAATTTCTGCACTGGAGAGAGGCAAATCCGGAGGCAGAGCCATCTCGTAACAAACCGGGCCTCTCGTGCCCACTCTCCCTTCTTGCATTGCTGCCAAACTGTGCTCTAGCCGTTCTATTTTCAGTTGTGCTTTCTGCAGCTGCTCCGAACTCTTGCCTTCCTCCAGTCTGCAACAAAGAAAATTCTTCCTTTAGAACCTCTGCCTGCAGATGTTATAAACAAATTAACGAAGTCTCTAAGTGACTGACATACCGCGTAGACCGCAGCTGTTCGCGCAGCACAGCATTGCTCCCCTCCACAGAATGTAACTGTGCCTGTAGTCTCATCGCAGGATGGTACCACCCACTCAGATGTCTCGTGTCGAGTGCTTCGAGCAGTCTCTCCAGACTCTTGGATTCCACCTGTACACTGCTTGAACCTGCCACATATCACGATAACTAAGAGTGAAAAGTTTCTAACATTTTTCTCTTCACACTTCATTACCTGTGGCATTCAACTACTACACAGATTCTGGACTCTGTGTAATTTTTGGTAAACACTGGAGGACAAAATGAACTCTACCTGGTCCACTTTCTATCCTGCGGAATTCTGCAGTTCATGTCTGGGAAATTATCTATAAAAACATTTATCGTGCAGGAAAGCATCTTTTTGTATAGAATGGCTACTCACCTAATTCACTAACCAGTCATCAAGTCAGATACTATAATGAATTCTTCTCAGGCTTGTAGCCTGAGAAGAATTCATTATACTCATACACCATAGTTAATCTCTGACCAACATTCCTGTAGTACAGGCTTAAAATCCCGTTGTCCTCTACATTAAAGGCTGATATAAGTGCAAGTTGTTAAACTAAGAATGTACCATCTTGGTTGTGAATGCTGTCCATGATCTCATGCATGCCTCTCCTCAAGGCTTCATTCTCTGTCGTCATCTCTTGGAGTTTTCCCTCCAGTTGGACCACCTCCTGCTTCAGTCTGAACAACCTCATCTCTTGCTGTTGTACCCCATCTGCCTCTTCGATGCTCAAACCCTGCCGATCGCCTTGTGACGGGATGACGGCCCCAATCTCCATACTCTGACTGAGATTCCTTAGAGGCGATGGCTTGACAATGTCCGTGTTATTTGTCATGCTGATGTCGGGCTGTTCTAGCGACTGGACTTGCTGACTCAGCTTGCCAAGTCGCTGGTTCAGTTTGTGGTTCTGCAACCAAAATTATCATTTCAGAAACACGAAATTTTCGACATGCTTTACCAACTGTAATGATTATGAATGATAAATCAGAAGGAAGTAGTGGCCTCCAGGGACTGAAAACCATAAACGACAGCTGCAGTAGCTGGTTTACAGGCCATGACTTGAACCTTAACGTAAAGCAGGAGAGCCATCACAATTCTGCACATTTCAATCGCAGCCTTACTTCAAGTTTTAGCTGCAACTTCTCTTCTTCAAGCCGCTCTGCCTGCTGTTGAAGTACCTTCATCAGCAGTTGATCTTTCTTCCTTTGGGCAAGGATCCCATCCACACACACAGGACTCTCTGGCGGCATGCCAAGCTTCTCCCTACGGCAACATTTGTTTTGTGGAATTACTCAGATGTAGTTTAATTTAATAATTAAACTAGGGTCCCAAAAATACAACTTTACCGTGCTAGCAGCTCGCCTATGCAGTCCCCTGATACAAGTGAATGGATTCATAATATTCCGATATCAACATACAAGACAAGTATGGACAGACAACTTGGTACGTGAGCGACCATTATAGGCAGGTCGAACGGTCAGGGTTGGCCACACCTTGCTGAAAAAATTTTCTCAGGTTTCAGTTCTGGATAGCAGTTCAAGCCATGAAGTTAAGACCATAGTCGGATAGGTTTTAAATTACTAGTAGAATTTCCATCATTTTCCTAGAATTCTAGAATTGTGACGTAACACATGCGCAAAGTTGTTTTGCTGATTACGGTACCTCAGAGCCAAATTCTCCTCTTCCAATTGGCTAGCCTGAGCCTGCAGTTTGTTTGATGACTGCACCAATTCCTCTATTTGCCTGTCTCGAACACGACGTTGTCGTCTGAGCTCCTTGATCTCGCCGACAGCCTCAGCCAGACCATACTCCCCAGACTCGTATTCTCTCAGCTGGACGATCATTTCTGTTGCCTGAACATAAAAACGGGAAATTCGAATGGTTCTGAACAAATCAAAATTATCTTTTGAGGGCGGCAAGAAACCTCTCGCGAGCTTACCTCTTGAGCTTTAGCGTGAGCATCTTCTTCAGCATCCTTCATTTTGGTTTCAAACAGTCGGACTTTTTCTTCTGCTCGCTGTAACTGTGTCTTTAACTTAGCAGCTGCACTGGGATCATCCCCAGTCGGTAGTTTGTGCCTGCACAAAACCACAACCATCAGCAGTACTTCGGAATTACATGTGTTTCACAGAACAGTTCAGAGTTATTCAGCTGCTACATCGCTAGGGAAAAGGCTTAAAATCTGGTTCAGTTTCAACACGTGCCGCGTATTCCGAGCGTTTCAGTTTCTCGACCCACTTTTTTTTCTGTGAGCTGCGATACGCAGTTTAAGAAACACGGCACTCTCTTAAGATCGAACGATGACTTACTCTAATGTCTGCGACTTGAATTCTTCTAAAAGCGCAGCACTTTCATTCATCTCTGCTGTCGCTTGCACCAACTGCTTCTGAAGGTCCTCTATCTGGTCTTCTCGTTCCTGCAGCGTCTGTCACAGGAAGGTCATAAAATCACTCAGTGGCAAAAGGTTGCATTAGAAAACTTTTTTTTTTGTGGAAAATTTGGTTTTTTGCCTGTGCTCACAAACATAACCGTTGTGTCTACAGGAAAATAGGGCATGATTGATGAGACAATATTCTGTTATAAAAGTCTACTGGACAATCTATACTCTTGTACCATTATCTGTAAATGTGCAAACTGTCTACAGTCGTAATTCTGTAACTTCACCTGGGTAAGCAGTGCAACACGACTGCGCTCAGTGTCGATCTGAATGTTGGGTGCTTGTGCTGCGAGGTGAGACAGTCTCGCCTGCATTTCCTCTATTTCAGCATTCTTCTCTTCCAGGACTCTCTGTACAACATAAAAGACGACGCCATTTAAATTATCCCTATGCTCTCATAATAACCACTTCCTCTTCAAAACTGTTTCCTCAGAAGTGTTAAATAATTTTGTGTCACTTATTGAACAGTATTATTCCAAAGTCAGAACTTAAAGCAGTGCTGTCTTTTTGAGAAAATCTCAACTGCAGCAAGAAGTTTCTTATATAGAAGCTTTACTGTAATTTTCATTTCTACAAAATACAAGTTCCTTCTGTTATTGCAACGTTGATCCTGATCTTTTATCCATATATCATTCCCACCTTCCACTCCTCCACACGAGAGTCCAGCGCTTCACTGAAGTCGTCCAGCTGAGTGTCACGTCGCAACTTCTGCTCCACCAGCTCCTGCACTTGGGATCGTAGTGCCACATTTTGTTCCTCCACCATACACAACTTCTCTGCAACAGAAACCACATCAATGCTTCAAAGAACCGTCACATCATCATTCTTATTCTCGGTATTACAAACTGTCGGCCTGATACAGTTATAAAATCTAATCTTTCCATCTTAGGGTTCATAGTTCACACTTTCACTGGGCAGGGCCATTTCTTTCGATATGTTGTTTCCACTTTCTTCTGTAGTGCTGCGTAAAGCCACTCTAACTCTGTCATTAGTTCATTTCCCTTCGTCAAATAAACACGTAATTAATAAACTGTGAAAACTATATTACTTAATGACTGTAAGGCATGAATTTTATAAAGATTTCTGGGTTGTTGCGCTGTGTAGTCTGGCCGATGTTTGCCAACGTTTCAGGGGTCATACTGCCTCCGTCATCAGGGCGATGTATGACCTCTGAAACGTTGGTAAACATCGACCAGACCACACGGCGCAACAACCCAGAAGACAGAAATCTTCAAACTCACCGCTGTGAAAACCTCAAATCTTACATGAATTTTATACTCTGGAGAAACTACAAAAATCACAAATACTTGAAGATGTTTGTAAATATTTGGATCAGAGACAAATGACGTTAGAGGGGAATGCAAGGTACTACATAAGACAGGCCCACATTCCTACGACCATCACGTCAAGATCACCGTGATTTGAATGTTTGACTGAGATGCAGTCACCTCGAAGACAAGGAGGTCGGTAAATAATGCCGAACTGAAACATGTCACTGGCAGACTCTGTCGTCTGAAAAACTAAGCGTCATCTTAAGTGCATCGATAAAGAGCGTACTGCCTTGTAAGGGTCAGTATTTGTACATTATCAATATTTTACATATCTACCTAAAAGTTCACACAAGCTACAGAGATTAGGCGCCTTACCTTCTTGCTCTTGACACGTGTGTTTCAGCCCCGTGCATTCTCCCGTCATTTCGGTTATGTGACTGGTGGCTTCAGACAGTTCATCCCGCAGGTGTGATAACTTCTCACGTAGCATCACATTCTCCTTCTCAATTGCCTACAATGAATCACGTTCTTGTATAATTCTAAACATGTCCTTCAACTAGGTCCTATAAGTGATGTTCAACCACATTAACGCTGTCAGTTCAAAATAGTTTATGCTCTCTCGAAACTTAAAAACCTTCTTTTATACGTGGGCAAAATTAAGTGTCTCGCTCTAAAACAAGACCGCAGATTCCAACTGATTGGAAATAAAATGCTGTGAAGAATATTTGAACCCAAGAAATATAAAGTGTTTTTTTTTTTCAGACTGGAGAAAATTACTTAATGAAAAGCTTTATTATATGGAAATAATATTTGAGTGAATGAGTTAATAAAAATTAGATGAATGTATAAATAAATATAATACTTTTGATGGAAATCCTAAAGGAAAGAGACTATTTGGTAGACACAAGATAGATGGGTGGATAATAATGAAATGGATCTTACAAAAACATTGTGAAGATGTGAACTGACTCAGAACAGAGTCTAATGACAGGCTTCTGTGAAAATGGACACCAGTCTTTGGAAATTTCTTGATAAGCCAAATATTTACTTGAATTGTACAGAAACAGTATAATGTCACGCTGACTAAGAGATATTATGATAGTGCAATAACTTATAAATATCAAGTATCACAAAATAGTAAAAAGATACCAAGTACATGTTAATGTTTGGTGATACATAAAAATATGATTAATGAAAAATGAAATAATTTCCGGAATTGCTGAGAAATCATGCGATAGCCTGAAACGGTTTGGCTGGTAGTGCAGCGTCCTACCTCGACATCATTCAGAAGCTCTGAGATGTGCTTGTTCTTTTGCTGAATCATGTCTGCCAACACTTGCTGTTTCTCTGCGCTGAATTCAGGGGACTCGTCCCGCTGCGTTGTACTGTGCCGCTCGCTACCTTCATTCTGCAGTGCCACCACGTCTCTCTGCAAGTCTGCTTTCTCCCTCTCCAGCTGAGCCACTTGTTCGGCAAACTGAAGCAAGTCTGAATACTGAATACGACTCATTTCTAACAGTGGCACAGTAATGACCTTGAAAATCATGTATGTAGAATTATCTGGGTCTTGGAAGATATGGGGCAGGATGACCCTTTATCAATGTTAAGAGTAAATAATGTCAATTCAGTAAACATAAATACAAGCTGATTAATAGAAGTAATGTGAAGCACAAATACAGGAAACATCCATTTGGTGGCATTATAAATAAGGTTATGTGTATAATTTTATATACAAAACTGCACCTTGAACAGCAAAAACCAATTATTCTTTGTACTGCAGATGGATTGCATTTTCTATGAGAAAGGAATTGAATTTTTAAATATTATTTAGGCAAGCTATGTGCTTGAAAATATTAAGGCCTCTCCTACTTAATGCCAACCTCCCCTTCATCTTGCAGCGTCCTTATTTATCACAAACGGGGCTCTGGCACTCATATTCCAGTGATACAAACATCATACGTACAAATGTGGAAAAATACTGCTACCAACATACAAGTTAAATTGGTTTCTAAGTTTAGGTTTTGATTAGTTTAGTATGTCTGTGTCAAGTTATAAGCAGCGAACCAAAGTCAACGCAAATATGAACCACGCCTCACCTTCTCAGTTTCTCTTTTCTCCACCAGGATATCCCTCTCACGGGCCTTCAGTTCGGCCACCAGTTCTTCATTCTGCAGTTCACACTTCAACAATTCTTGTCTGAGGTCTTTAGTTTCCGAACCTGGACAAATATAAACGCGAGTGCATGAGTTCTCCAATTTACAGGGCACACTTCCAAATACATTATTTGTAATCTTGTATCATCCACTGGTGTGGTTTTAATTTGTGTCAGGTAACAGATCTGATATTGAGAGCCCAGCAACACTTGAGATGTTACACTCCATAAAAGCGCAAAATATTTTCCATTCATTAGATGTAAGTCACATCAAAAGATGTTTCACATAACTAAGTAACTAACTAACTCCCTGGTAGCAGAACTCGTACGTTCAACACCGACAACAGGAAAGCCCGCCACCGGCCACGACCTGACAAATGTTTCACATAAAAATTATAAATCTTAATGATGCCTATATCTTGTAATATCCTGACTGTATGATGCATAGTTTTTGATAAGTTAGATCAATTCCGATATGTTTCATGTAAAGCAGGGGTTACAGTGTACTACTATAGACCAAAATGAACTCCGTATCAACTTTCAATGAAATCCATTAAATAGCACTGAAGATGAAACTTGGTGACTTCGTGTTCTTTTAAAATAATGATTCACAAATATTAATGGAAGGGGATAATACTTCTGATATTTAGTCCATCAATTGCCTGACTTCATGGTTATAAGTATATTTTCTCTTAGACAGCTTAATATCATGAATTCCGCGGCAAGAGAGCCCAATTTCAAAAAAAAAAAAAAAAAAAAAAAAAAATATTGCTGGTATGAGCCTCTCTGTCTTCGTAAGGACTCTTTCTAGCTTCCCACTGTTGCATTTAAACCGACCTTCTCGTAACACGTGGCCCGTGTCGCGCTTCGCGAGAGTCAGCTGGGCGCGTAGCTCTTCGACTTCTTCAATCAGATCCTGGTGCCTCCGAGCCTCCTCTTCTCCTTGTCTTGCTGCGAGGTCGTCAAGCTCCACAACCAGCGATTCAACCTGTGAAGAGTAGTTCGTGGACAGGTCGCATTACCTTCAGACAGGGGGCAGTGAAGATATCATGTTCTGTCTTATCCCATATTGATTTCATAATGTTTCTTACCATTTCCCAGACCTTGGAGAGCAAGGTTCTGCTATATTTTCATGATTCTAAAAAGAACTTAAGTAGATATGGTACGAAACACGTTATCTAAGCCATCTAATCATACCTTCATCTCACGATTACAAATTTACAGGAATTTCACAAATTTTTCAGTAGTAAGGGTCCTGTGTTTCCTCCGACACATCGTGGCTACAGTCCACTTTATTTCACGACCAACAGAGTGACAACAAAATCAAAAAAAGATTTTCTGAACAATCGGAGTTGTGCATGTGATGCATGCTCTAAGCCCAGCATAATTATGTTTGCGTTAACTTTCATCGTAGGGCGATAGGGGATTAAACTCCATATTACAGGGCTGCTGGCTGCAGGAGTTAACGGTTTAGTGGTATGTTGGTGTGGTGCATGGTCAGCTGGATCACATGTGAACAGTTAATATACAAATGATAAAGAAAAATTAATGCCTGCAGATGGACAGAATACTGGTCAGTTACGGTCCTTCGGATCCGTTCTGTCATTACAAACCTGTTCGCCCTTGTATTTGAGAACATCCTGAGTGAAACGAAACAGGACTTTCAAGTGATCTGTGTCAATGTTGGGTTCAGGATTATACCATATGAGGCTACCATACAAATCATCCTTCTCTTCTTCCGACAGGTCCTCAGGTGACAAGGAGAGGAGTCTCTTCCAGTCCAAATGCACCATTGTTCTGCGTTTGACTGTTACCTTTTAGACATCTGTAATGACATACAATGACAAGTGAGTACTTCTGCAATCAAATTTTCCTTCCAAGTATTAGTCATATTATTTAATTAATTAATAATTGTCCTGCATTGATTATGGCCCTGTGATTCATTTACTGCAAAGGAGAGATGAATGACATTCTAAACAAGATTGTAAAAGTATACAGTACGCTCTTAACAAGTGCATTCTGCAGAAGGAATTAGAAATGAAATTATTTATAATAAAATACAACCAGTGTTATAAATAGAAATGTGTAAACAATGCACGCATTGTGGCTAGTTAACCATCTCTCTCTCAATACAAAATATGTTTGCCTTGTAGAGTTCAACAAATGCACCCTTTCCAAAATTTAATTTGGTCAGTAAAATTAAGTAATGTGTGCTACACCAAATATATTGTATTTATTCAGTCGGAGCTAATCTATTGCATCCCTGCTGGAAAACGTCAGTATATCATTCTATTATTCTGTTTTCCAGAATAATATTAAATCACTCCTTACAGAGTCCAAGATATTAAATAGTTCAATGTGGAAAATCTAAACATAAATGTTAATAAGCACTATTTATTTTGAAGAAGAGTTGCTGGCACAGTTAAATATACAAAAGAAAGTAATAACACATGTTGAAGAAGTCCTTTGGTTTGTCTTCAAAAACTGTTAATTGGGCTGAGAGAACATAAGCACATTCAAACTACTGTATATCTTCACATTTAATTTCATTAAAATTTATTTCCAAGTATATATATGAAAATCACTTCAGTAGAAAAGAGCTCTACAAATTTTATAATAAAATAAAATTCTAAGAAAATATCAAACCTTCAATCAAATTGCCAGCAAATTTACAAATGAGTCAAAACAGTGATCGTGGTATCAGTTTCATAAAAACGTAATGAATTATTATAAGTGGCGTCGAAACGAGAACATTTTAATAAGCACGCACAGCCATTTTTGTTGAAGCATATTAATCAGGTAATTCATTCAAAACTTGACTCCCATTTTGGAGGCTATAGGTTTTTGATAAAAAAAAATTGAATCACTCCTGAAACTTCATTCTAAGTAACGATTAATAATGGAAATTTTACGTTATAAAATGTATCAACACGTGCTATTATGATGAAACTACGCCCAGGCAACATTATATACTATTACGACGTCGTCCATTGCCCTTTTTGGTGTTTTATAAAATGGTGTAATAGAAGCGGAAAATTCATATCTCGCGGTTTATAACTCGTACGATTTCTTTAACAATCCAGTCTCAAGAATAGAAATTCTAACATAAAATATCGTTATTCACATATTTATTACGAAGTCGAATTTTGTGACAGCAAAAATTGAACATTACGGATATTATCAACTACACATTGTTCTCATTTCTTGCATAGACTAAGCATCTGTGTAACACAGATGTTTGGTTGTCAGGAGTTCCACTTCAAGTAGAAACATTTTAGGAAATAGAATTACGCATTTGCGATTATCGATTATCAAATTTCGTGATCGTTTACGTTAAATTACTCAGTTCAGAACGAAGCCAAAGAGGCGGGAACTTTTTCGGGGCATGAAAACTTGAATACACTTCGTTGCAGCAGGCACCTGAAAATAAAAACAGTTGTCTACCGGAATTTATAGTACAAAGTGATCAGCTCTAACTCACAATTCAGAAAGGGAACGTTAATAATGGAATATGTAAGTGTACACTTGTACTAATATAACCTTAAAATTATGTTAACTCTCAGTACAGAATTCTCCTTTAACATGTAGTTTTGTTATTAGTTAACCAGTGTTCTCATTTTTGGGCGCTAGAGGAATTCCACTGGTTGGTATGTGTGTCATCATAGTAATAAGATACTTTAATTGCAAGAAGGAGATTAAATTTCATTCCCCCATGAACTTATAATTCTACTCTAACCAAGAATTAAAGGCATTACCAGTATCGGGATGGCCCAGCATTTATCCAGAAAAAATAGCTTAACTTAGAATAGCTAGATTGGTTTATAATCTGAAGATCTGCAAAACTAACTCACCCAGTATTATGAAACTCAGACTAGTTTCTTAAATGCATAATATAAAACTGCTCTTCTTATTTTCTAGAGATATTTTCTGTCATTGATAATTGAGAATATAATGGTCTGCTTAATTAATTAGAATTGTATGCTGCAGCATCAAATTCTTTTTCCACATAGTTCATTTTTGGCAATAATACACCTCCAGCTGTGACTGTTACACTATACTGGATACTGGGAACGACCCATTCAAGTGCCTGAACACTGCGGGTCCCAACTTTTCTTGAGCTTGATCTATGGCCCATCACAAGGCCTCTACCTGTACACAGGACAGCACAACACAGAAAACCGCAGACAAACATCCATGGCTTGAGTGGGATTCAAACCCACGGTCCCAGCGACCAAGCGGCACAAGGCCCACGCCTCAGACTGCGGACCCCCTGTTACACTATTCATGTATTAAAAGTTCATATACTATGTATGGATCTGGTAATCTCAGTGTAAGCACTCAGACTGAGACCAGCAAAGCCAAACATAGTTTTTCCTGCATTCTGTCCCCCCACCCCAAATCCTCCACCTCTGAGAATTTTTAAACTTAGTGAATGTGGGCAATGTCAGGCCCCATCCATGGGACAGAGTCCATGTTAACTTGTATGTCTCCACGGTTGCCTGGCATCATCACTGGAGCAAAGGGAGAGCCTTGATGTGGGCACTCCCACCTCAGAAATTGATTATTTCATATTTATCAGGCAAGTTAGATTGGTAAGAGATACCACAATGGAGGCAGAGAAAGGTCTGAGTCTTACCTACATGGGAATGAAGGCAGGTTAGATCAATGGAATTACTTGTATATATTTTAGTTGTAGCTTACATGCATAAAATTCATTGTAGGAAATGTGTGCATTTTGTAATACTGGATATTTATTGAACTATGCCACATGCTCTGATATTTATGGAAGATAAATTATTAGCATGCCATGCAAAGAGTAAAACAATCACAGATACCAACTCCATGGGTGAAGAAAGTTATAATTTGAAATATAGCTTATCTCTACTATCAAGTAACTGAATCCATGAATCAGAGTTCTTGAGACACTGATATTCACTCAGCTGTAAAGAAATTCCCTGCCATTTATGTAACCGGATGGTTCATTACTGTGTTCACAAGAGTCCACCATTAGTCCTTATCCTGAGCCAGAAGAATCCACGTCATACCCTATTTCTTTAAAATCCACTTTAATATTATCCTCCAATCTATGCATGTCTTCTAAGTGATGCTTTCTTGGTGAAGATTACAAACTGTGAAGTGCCTCACATTGCCTCTGATTGTTTTAAAATTAAAGGATGTTCTGCTAGCAGGGTTGTTTCCAAAAGATAATTTCTCAGGTGAAATTTCAGACATCTCAGTTCACTAATCGCATGGGGGGGGGTGAGGCAAATGTTTTACTGAATCATGAACAATATTCTGCCATGCAGTGATGCTCTTTAAGCATAATTATTCGTTACCGCAATTTTGTACGTATATATTACAGCTTTAGTATTCAGATTACCTGGTGTATTTGTAGTTCGATTAATTTATTTTACCCACAAGCGATGCCAACGGAAGGCCTGTTGATTACAGGTTGTTACGATATAATATGAAATAGGAATAACCATAAAGCTCACTCACTTAGCCTCATTTTGTAACGATTCATATAACGAAATAGGAAGGTTCCATTTTGTTTGTAAACAAACATTCGACTTACTGATCGATAGTAGCGGAAGTTGTAACAAGAAGGAATTATCGCAACATGCTTCCTGTTGTATTGGCCAATGATGTTTAACCTCGTCACGAATGGAAGTCGGTGAAGGTGTAAGACGTGTTAATTGAACTATTTTTGGAATTTGGACTTATTCATATGATGTGTTCCTGGTTTGTTACAAAAGTTGCACCTGAAGCTTCATCTCAATTCCCGAATTGGCTTCAATGGAGATACCTAAGATGAAAGTTTTCGTATACGTTTTGACTTTCTTAGGTTATGCTTGGAGTGGTTATGGAGCCGGTATAATAAGCAATTTGCGCGATGCTGTGCTTGCCGCAGAACATGTTTTTGGCGATGTTTTTGAGAACATCGTTACACTTGCTAAGAAGTTTAAAATTGTTCATGAAGTATTTGATGCAGCTGTAGAAGAGGAGTGTAAATTTACATGTCCAGACGGTAAGTATTTAACTTGGTTATATAAATCATTGTAAGTTGATGTTAAAAGTAAGGTTACAAAGCTAAGAACATGTATGTCATAAGGATCGTACTGTGCAAATTACAGCAACCAGAAGAGTGGCATGAATATGTTAATAGAGACGTTTGTTTCAGATGGTAGAGCAGTGAAAAATAAGTACCACAAGCCAAGTAGTGATGGTTGTGGCTCTCTTGGATTGGAGGTTAGTGTCTTTGAATCTACAGTTATGTGTTTTTAGAAATTGTGAAAAAAGGCGAAGTAAAGCTATCCTGCTATGGGCCACCTAACATTGTTAGGGTAGTGAAATTGAGGTTATGATAGTCTGGGCATGTAGCTAATAAAGTGCACATAGAATTTTTGTAAGGCAGCTGTAAACTAAAAGGATTCTGTGATAATAACATCAGAACATCTCAGGAAAGGTTATATGTGAAGTAGAACCGTCATGAAATTGGTGTAACTATAGTTAATAGATGTATTGGTCATGTAGTTACACTGAGGATTATGGCCCTTGTCTTACGATTCCATGGAGGAAAATGGAGGTGAGATGTTCCTCTGAAACCACTATTTGTGCACAAGTCTAAAAGATGTTAACGTATTGAAGTCCAGTATCAACACTTTTGCTGCCATGAGAAGAACAATTCTGAACTGAATAGTGTCAAAAATTTGTGTTGTAAACTATTTATTAGATATATTTTCTTTTTCAGATTCCAACAGGAAATCTGCCAATGAGTGAGATGACAGATTGTTGTAATGATCATGATATTTGTTATGACACTTGCGGGCAAGATAAGGAACAATGTGATTTTGACTTCAGGCGATGTCTGTACAGGATATGTGATAAATATGAGGCTACAGCTGGGAAAACAGTAGCAAAAGGTGGTTATTTGTTTCCTTGACACCATAATGAGCTGGTTCAATCCATCTTCTCTTCCTGTGTTACTGTGTCATGACCCAGGCATGAAGATATTTTGTACCCCGTATAATTGTAGGTTTTGTGTCAAAATTTCTTTTTGTACATTTTCACACCACTGAATGTACTGTATTAAATAAAAAAACACTGTATTTTTTCAGGGTGTAAAGCAGCAGCCAAGATGTTGTTCACTGGCACAATAACTTTAGGGTGCAAGTCGTATATAGATAGCCAGAAGAAAGCTTGTTACTGTACGCCACGAAAGAAGAAATACACCACAGGTGGCGAGTATAGCGAGCTCTAGGAAGCCACGGACAGTTAGTGCATGTTCTTATTACGCAGTATTTTGTTCCTTCCCTACTAACTTCGTCTCGTTGGTGACCACGTACGCAGTCAACAGAATAAAGTTGTTGCCGATGGGTGCTATATCGTCTTTTGCGTTCTTATGTGCACGTGTCTAAATACTGTAAATACCATACACATATGAGATTGAAATGTTTTGTATTTACTACAGTTTAATTACTTGTTTGTAGTGATTTCAGGATTGCTTAGTTGGTAATGCGACTGGTTGTGAGGTTCGTGTTCCAGTTCCAAGTAGAGATAGCGATTTTTCTTTTTGACACGTACTGGCAGTTTTTTTTTTTCGTGGGGGACTTTGCGATTTACACGAGACTTACTTTTGTATGACACTTGTGCTTTCAAATGTCAGTGTTATGCATAATAATTACTGAAAATCAGCATTGACAACTGAACAAACTTGCTTTTATTTTCAAGGGTAACCTGAAACTGTAGTTGATTTTAAAAGCTTCACTGCCGTGAGAACCTCAAATCTCATGCCTTGCCTCTTATGTGAAAATTACGTTACGCAGAATCTGTAATAATGACTAGGCCGTATTCATGAAACCGGAGCGTACCGTGAGATTGATTTAGAGGCAGCTCTCTTCTGATACATGGCGGCTAGTGGATCTTAATTTTGTGTTGAGATTAAAGGCTAAAATAGTGAGTGTAAAAGCACAAAGTTTTAGTTAATGTTAATGTTTCAAACTTAAGAAATGTGCATTTATGTGATTTCTAACATTGTAATTTTTCAAAGATATTGACCGTTATTGTATCATGTGATGATTATTTTGAGTTTGCAAAATAAATATAAAAATTCTGTATTGTTTCTTTGACTTTTGATTGTGCTGAGTGGAAGGGAAAGTTGATGTTGTCCTTTCTGCTTAACTAAGCATCACGCCATTCTTACATAGGGGGAGTGGAGGTTTAGCTCCACACATTCATGAACTTATTATTAGACGGAGGTGAGTGGTCAACTTCGTACCTGGCTGCCTGCCCCCAAATAAGGGACCGCGCCGTCCATCGAATAGGAGGCCAGGTGGACGTCAAAGCCGCTTTGGCCATCTGGCCGCGTCGTCGTAAAATTGGCCCAGAAAATATTGTGAAGTGTGTGACTGATTATTGTCAAAAATTGTATATTTTGCGTGTTCCTTGTTTTCAGGCTTTAATGCCTCGTTGACCTCTAGATCGTTGCCAGTGTTTTGGAGGAACATGCTGCCTCCATGTCAGGACTGAATGGAGGCAATATGTTCCTGCAAAACATTGGCGTCTACTTTATAAAGTTTACGCAGCATTACAACCCAGTAGATCAACCACCATGAGGGGGGGAGGGGAGCAGAAATGCTTATGTTGGAAGAAAATTAATAGTAACTAGAAACTTAATGATGACTAAAGGCAGTTTTATGAAAAATTATTTTAAGGGAAAGGTGAGGTTAGGTTTCGGAGTCGTAAAATGAAAAGATTTTATCATTCAGTTTCATTTATTGCAAGCTAGTAAAAAATGACATTTGTACTGAGGGACATAAATACAGTTTCTAAATGGTAAGACATTAACATGCAACATTCGAGAGAATATCCTGATCAGCGCATTTTTGTCGACAGATAAGACGAACGGATTTCTTACGCAGAATGGATAAGAAGTCCCTGTGCAAAAAACAATCTCATTCTTCATTAATATGGCGTATATGATTTTCTGAGATGGATAAACATGTAATTGAAGTATATTTTTTGCGTGAACAACTCATTTTATTTGCATTATTAATTAAATACGTTTAAGGCACAGGATCTACTTTACCATCTGCGTTACGTAAAATGTCTGTTGGTATTTTCCCTCCAGTCACATGTCGTATCATTCTGTGATGGCAGCGTTCACCTCCTCCTGCTTCTTGTGGAATATGATCACATCCTTGAAGTACATGTTTGGAGTGTAGAACTCTCCTCCGTAGATGGGGCGGTCAAATGGGAATCCAAGGGGTTTGTCATCAGGGTACTTCTTGCCCGCCCCAACGCCGCAGTAGCTAAAGGACTTGTAATTGTAGGACTTGAAGTCTTGTTCGTCTTGCTTGACGTAGGGTGTCAGGATGACGTAGAAGGTGAAGGCTTGTCCTCCCTTCTTGCCTCGAGGAAGCAGCAGGCGTTCAGGGTAGCCGCAGTAGTGTTCATTCTGCGACAGGGAGCGAGAATTGTGAAGCAAAGTTTGGGGAGATCAAGGCCTGAGGGGGCAGGGTACAAGATGGGTTTTGGTTTCAAACAGCAGAAGGGGGGGGGGGAATTGGACCTATGGGGTGGAAAATAACAAAAGTATTTGAGTGGGTTAATAATTTGTACTGCCAACCGAATGTTTTAGGGGTATTAAATGAATACTAATTTAATGGGCAGGGTATGAAGCATGCGGAGTTGTGCTTGGAACACTTGAAGGGAAGAAACTGCATAAAGATTTAGGCATAGATGGGAGGATAATATTAAAATTTGATTTTAGGTGAAAATTTCATGAGAAGGAAAATTAAATTTAGGAAGACCACTGAAAATGATTGGGGCTGAATCAGTTTAAATAAATTTACGAGAGTTGTAGAAGTCCCACAGCGAGGCACGTAATAATGTGTACTATTCACTGTATTAATTTAATGGTGATATTTTAGCTAGCTTCTGGCAGTAAAAAAATAAGTGGGCTACTTTAACAGTGTCAACCGTTAGTGGTAAGTGCTCAATGTAAAGTTTCCAGATATTTTAGAAAATTTTAGTTGAACGTTTTGTGTCTCTTGTTACAGACATTGAGAAAGTTGTCGTCACTCTGAATTGCGATTCGACGTGGCGTTATGTTCCACTCTTGCCGTCAACCGAGGTCGCGTGAATTGAAGATGAAGGTAATTAGAAAACAGTTATTTCAGTTTCCTTTTGAATTTATGTGATCTGAATTTATTCATCAGACATTTTAGCGATAACCAAAAGAATTGAACAGCGTTTTCCGTTCCTACCAATTGGTCGCCGTTCTTACGAAAGTAAATCAAGGAGGTAATCCCCTGACAGCGCGACAACTTCTCTGGCACGCTTGTAATGCGTTTGCTCGAAACAAAATTTTGCAGGCGAATACCAGACTTTTCAAAGCTTTGTATGTCATTGGAAACGTATTATTGTAATGATGTGTGTCTCACTAATGTCATGCAATTGTAACTAAAGCAGAAGTGTGTAAAACAAGTTGCAGGATGTTTAATACGCTCTGGGGGCATCTTTTCATGGCCGTGCACGTACGTGTGAGCATGTAATGATTGTAGGATGTAATTAGGGAATTGAAGCGTTTACAATTGAAGATCGCCAATGAAATAATTATTCTCAAATCTTATAAATTCGACGAAGTTAATGACGCATTTCTGCAACTTCTTGTAGACAATGCGCCGAAAATAAATTGTTTCCTAAACATTAATTGGCTGATTTCTGTAACGAATATATTTTTTTTTTCTTTGAGGTAAGAACTGATATTTTAATTATTATTTCCATAAACCATAATTGACTTCGTAGAACAGCATTTATTATTAAATGAACGTGGAAACGTGGGTTATATTGGTTAAGTACGAATGTTTAATATCATTTACGTCGTTCAGTGTCGTAAATTGGCTGACACCCAGACTGTTGTACTTACTCAGGCACTGGATAGCGCTCATTTATAATCC